CTTAGGCGATACAACATCGATGTAGCTGCACTGAGTGAGACCCATCAAGTGAGAGATGAGCAGCACAAAGAACAAGGAGAATGCTGACTTCACAGAGTTGGTTTTGCCATTAAGAATGAACTCATAAGCCAACTGCATTCCCTATTGGAATTAATGACTGTCTTAAACTGGTAGGGCACCAATATGCCACTGTCATCAACACGTATGCGCTGACTTTTGATGCCGCCAATGAAATCGAGGAGGAATTCTACACCACCCTTGACCAAAGTCCTTTTTTGACATTCTGGAAGGAGACAGACTTATTCTTCTTGGTGACTTCAATGTCAGAGTCGGAAGGGACTCTAACCACTGGAATGGAACCATCGGCAAGGAAGAAATAGGAAAGGTCAACTCCAATGGCATCCTCCTCTTGATCAAACATGCACCATCACTAACACCCTGTTCTGCCAGCAAAACAGGCACAAGACATCATGGCAGCATCCACGATCTAAGCATTGGCACCTGGTTGATGATGTCATTGTCCATGCCTGGATCACAAAGATGTCCAACATCACCCAAGCTATGCTAGGAGCTAATGATTTCTGGACTGATCATTGGCTCATCTGCTTGGTCATGTCACGCAAACTGGCTCCCAAATGATGGCTACAGCAGAAGCAATGCTAATGGAAGATCAATGTTGAAGGACTCTAGGACCCAAGCAAGTGAGATTTCTTTCCCCCGAGTCTTAATGAAAAACTGGTGCATTCCAATCAATGAGAGAATGTTAGCAGCATGTGGGGTGCCCTCAAGGCGACCATCATCAGCACCTGCGAAGAGACACTTGAATTCTCTACCAGGAAACATGAAGACTGGTTTGATGAGAATGACAAGGAGGTCAAGAGTTGATCATTCACAAGTGTAAGGCCTTTTGTGCTTGGCAAAACACCAACTCCAAGCAAAAGAGATTAGATCTCCAACAAGCCACGGAAGAGGTCCAAAGAAGGACCCACAATTTGAAGAACAAATGGTAGGAAGACTAGGCAAAGGAGATTCACTGACATCCATGATATGCGTGGTTTCTCTAGTGCCACCGAATCCATCTACAATCCAAGCACTTGGGGACCAACCCCCTTGAGACATAAGGATAGAGGAGACCTGATCAAGGAAAGGGAAGCTATCACTGCACATGGGAAGGAGCATTTTGAAAAACTTCTCAATTGAAACTCTGTTATTGATGAGAATGCTCTCAACTCCATTTACAACTCCTAGTTGTGCGGGCCGGGAGCAATCCGCGGCCCTTTTGTGCACGCGGGCTGTGGCCAGCAGCCCGGGCACGCGGGGTCAGAGAGAACGGGCGACATGCTAGAATTAGGCACGGACGCGTAATGGTTGATTTAAAGATTATTTACTTACACCAAAGATGGTCGCGGTGTAGGCTGGACAGTTTTCCAGGCACAGCTCCGATTAAATCCTCGTTTGAGGACTACGACAAGCTCGCTCTCTCCCACGGAGTTGTTGAAGCTCCGTGGGTCCATTTCTTTTGCGCTTGAAGCTCCGTGGGTCCGTTTCTTTTGCGCGCAGGAAGGGATACGTCTAAGCATTAATCGGCGACGGGGAGAGGCTAGAGGCTGATCAGACCTCTGTTGCCTGCTTGAAATGCGCTGGGTCCAGTAGGCTCCGCAGCGCTTAGAGATCTTCACACAGCGTGAAGTCTCCTCCTCCTGGTGTTCGTGGAGTCCTCCCTTGCGGGGGTTCTCCAAGTTCTCCAACTTGGGCGGAAACCACCCAAGCCTTTTATATGGCTAGCAAGCCAATCACTAGCTGCCACGTGTGCATAATTTCATGCAAGCCAATAATGGGGCTCGAATTAGAATACAAATGGCGGGAACTCTTTGCAACGAGCATTTCTCAGATGCAAAAGAAATGCACACTGCAAAGAAAGCTACAAATTTGGCGGGAAAATAATTTAGCAGTGCCAAAGCGCACACAAAACAAAAATCACAACTTTGGGTTGTGACACTAGTCAGAGATGATCTCAGAATCCCCCCAACCCTTGACAAGATGAGGAAGGCCATCAAGCAGTCGAAGAATGACAAAGCTTATGGAACAGATGGAATCCCCACAACAATCTTCAAGAAGGGAGGAGAGGAGCTCACATCACAGCTTCATGCCCTGATCTTAAGGATCTGGAATGAGGAGGAAATACCAGATGACCATGATTTGTGACAATCTTCAAGAAAGGAAACAAGTCCAACTGGAAACTACAGAGGGATCACCTGGCTGTCCACAATAGGATAGATTATTGTGAGAACCCTCCTGAACCATCTCCTTCCACTTGCTGAAGAGCTCCTCCCAGAATCCAACGTAGGTTTAGGGAATCATGAGGCGCAACTGGCCCCGGAGCAGCTTCCTGCCCAGCCATGCACGCTGACAGCACTGCTGGGGCTGGTCTCCATGGAAACCCAGGCCCCATGCTGTCACTGCACTGATGCTTCTGGGGTCTCCGTGGAAATTGGCTGCAGTGACACAGGCAAAGGCTGCTGGGAATGGAGTCTGGTCACTGTCCAGATCTGCCATTTTGCTCACCCCTAACCTCAAGCGTGAGGATCTGGAGATTTGCAAACCCAAGGCCCAAGGAGAGCTAAGAGTATGATTGGAGGATCCAGAAACACAAAGCAGGGCTGAGAGAGAACAAGATCAAGGAAGGTAAAAGACACAGTGTCTGAGTGTGGGACCTAGAGATTCAGGAGCCAGGGATTGGTTGAGTCAGACCAGAGGGTCCACAGGCCCAGAGAAGGGGCAAAAGCTGGACTAGGCTCCACGAGTGAGAGAGACTGAGCCAGATGAGAGGGCCAGGAGCCCAGAGAGGGATGGTACGTGGCACCAGGGGTCTGGGAGCCCAGAGAGGGCCAAATGTGGGACCAGGGCAGGCAGAGAGCTCAGGAAAAAGGCTGAGCGAGGGACTTGTGGGTCCAAGGGCCCAAGGGAGCAGAGTGTATGAATGGAACATCATAGTGATAACATCCGTGAGGCTTGGGGCATGGTGTAGAGGCAAAACAGAACCATGAGCTTTCCCTTTAAGGCTATATGTCCCTCTCAGCCTGCCCATGCCCCTGCAGGGCACCTATCAGGCCTGAGAGTGGGATTTCAATTAGTGGGGTCTAAGAGAGACCCTGTGTGGGAATAGTTCGAATTAAGGTTTACTTTAAGGCTCATAGACAGCCTTCCTTTCCCAACTTTCAATTAAGAACAAGGTGTGAGGGGCGAGCAGTCTAGGGAGGGTGACAGAGTTAGAGCTGGGCAGGAGCCACAGTTACATCCCTGTGGCCACAAGCCTGCTACAGATGTCAACTCATGGGAGAGTATCACCCAGGACAGCTCTAAACTGAGGAAGAGTCTGCCACAGGGATCTCAGTACTTTGAAACCTCATGACAACAGGAGATGGAAAAGCAGGAACAGCATGTCATGAACCAAATCAAGAATCCAGCACCATCCACTCCACATGGAAACACATGTCCAAACTGCAGTAGCATCTCTCAATCGCGGATAGGCCTCATCAGCTATCTTTGGACATAGTACCAGAACTTATCTCCAGGGGTGGCCATGATGCCTCTGGAGCCCCACCAGCCCTTATTAACTTCACCCTACTTAGGCAATGACCTCTTCACTCCCTGCAACGCCTTAATGCATTTACCTTTCAGATAAAGGGAGGCTGCCCCAGGGCTTTCCAAGCTTGATCTCATGCTCCTGAGCTCAGGTCTCTCTACTCTCCTCCTCAAGGGCTAATTAGGTGGCTCAGACTGCCCCTTAGACCACATCCATGCCTTGCAGATGTCACTGTTCACTATTGAGCTGTCTGCCCACACCTGGGCACTTCACCTATCTGGGCTACTCCCTTGTACAACTTTGGGTTCCTGACCTGGATCCCGCCTCTCCTGAGATACTGGGCCCCTGGCCCCAACTCCACCCTTCTCTGGGTTCCTGACCTTGTCTGGCTCCAGCAGTGGCCTCCCTTGACCTTTGGCCCCTCCTAGGTCCTGGCCCTACTCCTATGCCAGTTGAAATCTCTAGGCTCCATGGCCCTGGCTTGCCTTTCCTGGGCTACAAGTCACTGACTCTTCGCTAACATGACACTACAGCGGCAGCCCTGCTCTTCAGCTCCTACCTTTCTGGCCCTGGCCCTGGCCCTGGCCCTGCACCCAGGTCAGCTGAGACCACTTTACCTCCCCTCATCTCAGTCCCCAAACCACCAATCTGCTTACCCCAGCATAGGTGTTTGCCAGGAGCATGGCTGCAGCCCTGCTGTTCAGGGGTTTATTTCTCAGCTACCATGATCAAACTATTGCCTCAGCTCAGACTCTGGGTTTATATCCTGTAAGCCCAGCCCCCTTTTGGGTCATGTGACCCGATTGCCTCCTGCAGCACCCGCAGACTGTCCCACCTGTAGTCTACTTTGGTATAGTGACATGACCACAGAGCCTTTTATTACACACACACACACACACCCCCCTAATTCCCATATTTACCCAAATCCAACACACTTCTAAATTGAAGGCAACGCCCCAATTACCAAGGTCTGGACATAGAAAATTAATTCTTTAGTTATAATTTTCCCCAGCTAAGACTGCCTCATTGGAGGGAAGGAGGGGTCACCTTCAATTTCTCCCAAGACTGCAGCAGGGAAAGCAGTAGCCAGGAGAGTGGACAGGTCAAAGAGCTTGACCCCCACCCTTTGCCCTGTGGTCCCCCAACTACTTACCACCCCTCAAATGGGGAATGTTGAACAGGGAAAGACTCACATTATATGCAAATAAATACAAGATGCACCAGCCTGTACTTCCCTACTTATACATCGCCTACCCACCCATCCCACTGGCTAAATCCTCTGCCCCCCCCCCTGTAATGCCTCCATCCCTCTGTGCTTCTGCCCAAGTTAGTGCCTCTGCTCACTGTGCTCTGGGTTCCCAGTACACCCCACCCCTTCCCCCAACCACCACCAAAGACAGTCCAACAGGGCAGGCAAGAGACAGGTCATTTATTTCAGGGACAGTCCAAAGAGACAGAATTAAAATGGCAAGGGGGGGCAACAGCTTCATTAGTGCCCTCTCCTTAGCAAGAACTGGGCAGGGGAAGTGGGGGGAAGGGGAGCCAGCTGGTCAGGGGTTAGCTCCTCACCGGATCTGAGACAGAGAGAGAGAAATGGGAGTGAACCCCTCTCCACCCCTCACCCCCCCACTTCCCCCTTAATCCCAGACTTTCAAAAACTTCCTCTATTATCCCAGACCTTGTAAACCTCCCTGCACAATCCCAGACCCCCATAACAACCTGGACCTCCCCAAAAGTAATGCTAGACCTCCCCAAAACTACCCTAAGTCCCAGACCCTCAAACCTCCCCCATAATGCCAGATTTTAACTGCCCCCTAAATCCAGACCCCAAACTACCCCCCCTTAATCCTAGATCCTTAAATTTACGCCCTTAATTCCAGACACCCAAATTACTGCCATTTCTCCCAGACCCTCATAACTATCCCCATAATCCCAGACCCCCTTCCCCATAATTCCAGATATCCCAACACTATTATTCCCAGACCCTTAAAACCAGTCCACTTGATCAGAGCCCCCCCCAACTGCCCCCCTCAATCCTAGACCCCCAAACTAACCCTGCAATTGCAGACCCCCTAAACTTCCTCTCTTAATCCCATACCTTGCAAAACTACCCTTAATCCCAAACCCTTAAAACTACCCCTCTTAATCCCAGGTGCTCAAAACTACCCCGTTAATCCCAGACCTCCAAACTACCTCATTACTCACTGTCAAAACTACCCCACATAATCAAAAACCTACATCTCACCCCCTTGATTCCAAACCCTCAAAACTATCTCCTTAATTCCAAAAACCAAAATTACCCCCATAATCCCAGATCCCCTAAACCTAGCCCCATAACCAAAAACTATCCTGTATAATACAGAATCCCCATAATCCCTGCTCAAAATACTACCATAAAACCCCCAAATTAAACCCATTATCTGAGACCCCCCAGACTACCCCACTTAGTCCCAGACCCCCAAATTACATTCATAGACCAAGAACCCCCAAAACTACCTATTAAATCCCATACCCCCAAAATAACCCTTAATTCCAGACCCAACTACCCTTTTAATACCAAACCCCTAAACTCCCCCAATAATTCCATCCCTCCCAAACTACCCTTTTCATCACATCACCCCAGACCCCCCTACATTACCAGGCTGCCCCCTATGACCTCCCCGAAATCCCATAGAACACCCGCCCTCTCCCCCCACATACCGTATACTTGTCCCACTTCTTCTCAGGGTCATATGGCTCCCAGCGGCTGGCTGGGAAGATGTGCTTGTTCTTCTCATACCAGCTGCGCAGCACCACCTTCCCTGCATGTGACTGGGGGAGGTGGGGTGGGGGAGATCAGGACAGGGCAGACTGGCCCCAATCCAGCCCCCACAAACGCATGGAGTTCTACTCAGCCATTTGTCCCAGAGGTTCCGCCCCAGAGTTGGTCACATTGTATAGCCCGGTATGGGCCTTCATCCAGCCTGATCTGGGGTCTGGTGGGGGTGGTGGGGAAATAGGACTTCCCCCACTCCATGTGGTGTTATACTCAACAGTTTGCTCTAAAGGCTCCAAACCCGGAGTTGGTTGTACTGTGGGGCCCGATATGGGCCAACAGGATAATCCAGGCCTGATCTGGGGTCTGGGGAGCAGAGGGTTCTTCCCCCCACCCCTCCTTGCAATGCTACATTTGACCATTCACCCCAGAGCTGGCTGCATCCTGGAGCCCTATAGGAGCCCAAAGTATGAAGATGGGATGGGGGGGGGTATCCAATCCAGGCCTGATGCTGGGGGGAAGGGGGGGGAAAATGACACATGGGCTGCTCAAGGAGTTTGGGTGGCCCCAATCCTGCATGGGGTTGGGGGGGGGTCCTCTCACCTCATCCTTCTCCACAGTGGCATCACTCAGCAGCCGCACATCCTCATGGACATCAAAGTTGAACAGGGGCCCTGGGGGTAGGGGTGGATGGCATGAGCCCCAGAACTGTGCTGGGACCCCCAATATACCCCAGCCCCCCCATCCTCTGCCTGATGCCCCCCAGACACCCTAATATGTCCCAGGACCCCTTGGCCCTCCCCAAATGCCCCAGCCCCCCCACCAACCAAAGTGGGGGCTCACTCACCGCTCTTGCCTCGGGCTTTGGTGACAATGAAGTCATAGAAGCTGTGATGCTGCGAGGCAGGAAGGAGAACATTAAATCTACCTCCCCCACCCAGCACAGACTAGGGGGGCCCTTAAACTGTGGGGGCCCCATTAGAGTCCTCCACCCCCCTCCCAGCCAGGCCAATGACCAGGGGAGCAGGGTACAGAGATTAGGGACGGTTAGGGGGATTTGAGGGGATCCAGGTGGATCCCCATCCCAAACTCACATGGGGGATGATGAGGTCCTCCTTGATGTACATGAGCTGCTCCACCCCAGCTGACCTGGGAGGGACAGGAGGGGGATCAGAGAAACTGCCCAAAGCTGCAGCCCCCTCTAGGAAGTTCTGATCCCCCAAATCAGCTTGGTCTGGCCCAAAGTGCCCCTCTGAGATTCCCCCAGAACCCCAAAACCCCCAACCCCCGCTTCCCTCCCCTCAGAGCCCCCCGCACCGAAGCTCGCTGAAGTCCTTGCGGAGAATCTCCAGTGCCTTCTGCAGGAACTGCTGGATTGTGTTCCCCTTCTTCATCTGAGGGAGGCACAAACTGGGGGTCACCCCAGTTTCACCCCTGCTGGAAACCTCCCAACTGGGACATGAACCCCACCCCACACACACCTGGGAATCCACCAGGCTTTGTGGGGACCCCTATGATGCTGGGGGGCTGTTTTGGGGGGACCCCCCTGGCTCCCTCAGAAACCCACCTTGACCGTGCGCCGGTGGCCAGAACCATCCCAGTAGCTGAAAGTGATCTCAATCTCCTCATCTGGGGGGGGGGGGGGGGGGGGGGGGGGGGGGGGGGG